AACTTCAAAGCACTGCATGTACAATGGGTTTAGGAGCTACCAGTTAAAAAAACGAGTTATGATTTGTTTCCTTTTCATTCGTTCTAGCCTGGGTGCCAGCCTTGCTGCACAGCTGGGACACCCCATCCCAAACTGGCTCCTCAGGAACTCGGTGCAGGCTGAGAACCAGGCTCAGGGCTCCAGGAACTGCCCCAGCAGCCTCAAAGACTGTTCTCTGTCCCCACAGCACTGACATCACTGCCAGCTCCTTCCTGCCCAGTCTCTCACTGCCATCACTGTTACCACACCCAGACTTTCCCACTCTCTTTGCCCAAAATTCTGCACCAGTAGGTCAGGCCCCACATGCTGCCCAATGAAGTGGCACCTGGGCAGGATTACAGTGAGAGGACAGGCCCCAGAGTGGCCCACAAAAACAGGACACAATGAGGAATCCTGAGCACACAGGAATCTCAACATCCAAACCCAAGGAAGGACCCCTTTGTGTATGTCCCTCCTAAGCACTAATGTGAAGAACACCCCACTTCACCCCTGCTACACAGCAACACCACCCAGACCACAGGGCAACGGGATTTCCAGCTGATCTTGCAGAAAAGTATTCCAGAATAAATTCTTCTCACTATGCCAGCGATTATTCTATGAACCCACTGTGTCAGCCTCCTGTGAACTACACAGTTTGCCTTCCAAACATGACCCATAACAGATCCTGCACTGATACAACACTGGAGATCGACAGATATGGAAACAGTTTCATCACTTCAAAGTTTATAGGAAATGGACACTTCACAGCGGCTGCAAACAACTTGAATCAACAATAATTTCAAATTAACACTTTCAAAAAGTGCAACTGAATTTCCTAATGAGAGAGTTTCCTCTTTGAAGGCGAGTCCCCTATTCTGTTCTAGTCCTCTCGCAGCACAGACAGGGACACAGGGCTATTTACAAATGCTGACACTCAGCACACCCTCAGTAAACATTTTCCTGTCATCCATGGGAGAGTCACAATTCAAAGTAACAGAGGAAAAGGTAAATGGAAAAACATAAGCAGCACAGAAGAAGGCAGGTCAGCCTAGTAGAGCTCTTCCTTAAGAGCACACTGCTACTTTCAGTTCCCACCCCAAGCTTCTCAGCTCAACTGAGCACAACTCAAAAAATCAGTTCCACTCCAAGAGTGAGTGCTCAGTGAGGGGAAGGTTTTGTGAAGATTATGGATCCTCCAGGTTCACCTTTTCACCAACATTTGCACTTATCTAAAACCAGTTTCAGCATGAGTATTTTTCAACTCTTCTCTTAGAAAACACGACTTGAAGTTCTCAAACCTTGCTTCCACGTTGGATTGGACTAAATAACAACTGACCTCAAATTATCAAACCACTCCAATCCCGTGTGGTAACAGCTTTTCCCAGTTAGGGACTTATTCATGTAGGTTTGGCTGAGACTGGTTGTGGCCACAGCAGGGACAAACACAACAGTTACTGATAAAGTCCAGCATGCACACATTTTAAACAGAGGTTTCACCAAACCTTTGCCACCCTTTTCTGTTGGCAATGCCCACCCAGGGTTAGTGCAGCCAGAGGTGAGGTGTTTTCTGGATGGAAGGTGTGTGCTGTGAGGCAGAGCTGGCATGCTGGCTCCTAGGGGAGCTGGAAGCACTGCTGTGAGTCAGCCGTGTGTGCTCAGAACGGTGTCACTGCCTCGTCACCCTGAGCTGGGCTTTCTGTCACCAGCTCAAAAGCAGAAGTTCCAGGACATCTTTATGTCCAAATACCACCCAGTTCCTGTCCACACAGACTAAACCAGAGAGATGCAAACCTCTGCTGACATCCTACCGACCCCTCCTTACCCCACAGATGTTTACTGCCATTTCCTGTGCTGTTTCATCCCAAAGCATCCACTTGGTGCTGCTTTCCTCAAGCACCCAGCCAAGGCAGCTCTCAGTAGCTGTTCCTGCTGCAGGTGTTGGACAGACAGACAGAGCTGCCTGGCTGGACAGGCCAGGTGTCTGAAGTGATGCAATCACTCCTGACCTCTCAAAACCCTCAGCCTGCAGTTCACACACCCCCCTGCACCTCACTCCTCCCCTGAGCTGAGCACACCCACTGCTTCTGGTCACATTAACCATGACCCAGAGGGACACCTCTGTCACCTGGAACATCATCCCGGTGGGTCAGAACTGTCTGAACTGCAGCAAGAAATAAAACAATTGTTCCTACTAATCCCTGCATTCAGTCTGTGCAATCTGCTTTGTCTCATCCCTCCCTGCATGTCCTTAACAAATCCCCCAGACAAAGCTCTATTTGCCCATGCTAAGACAACACCAAATTTTCACCTGCACCTGAGTCTTTAACAGGAAACTCGCAGCCTGTGGGTTTTTCCTGACTCCAGCTGGACTGAGCTGTTCCTCCTGGCAGACACCAGCAGTGAATCAGAGGCCTCTTGACAAACTTTTAAAGCATGAGGTGAGGCTGCTTCCCTGTGCACCTTTGTAAAGGTGTTTTGTATTTGGTTTCTGAATGCCAGAAAAAACAGTCACGTCTGTAACTGGGCTTGATAAGGGCATTTGGAAGAAGTTTCCCACGGTGCTGTGGAAAGAAACAACTTCGACAGCAGAGAAAAGGGGTTTGTCTGAAAAAGGAGCTCAGAGACTCATTTGTTTAGAGAGCCATGGGATTCAAATGGAAAACATGGAGCAAAAACTCTGGATCTTCAGGAAAAGTCATGGGTCAATACTGCTATGAAGCAGAAGTCAGATATCACAGCCAGGGCAAGAACCACAATGTGTCTCACACAAACCCCCTCAAACTCAAGCAAAGTCGTGAAAACAGGAAAATGCAAAATACGTTTGTATTAAAACAAAACATACAGTCTGACCACCATCCTGCACTCTTACCCTGCATCTTCATAAAGCACATGCTCAGGTTTTGGAGCAAAATCCTTTCAAGCAGTTCATAAAAATAATTAATAATAATAAAAAAATATATATATAACTATCAAAGCATTCACTGTGCATCTCTGCAAAAGGTCACTGAAAGACTTGAACAGCCAACAAAACACGCTACAGTTTTTCCATCTAACTACTGGCTACTTAATACTGTCCTTGGGGCTGGTACATATCTGTAGAACCACGTCGTCGTTAAGACTTTTAACAACAAATTGCACTGAAACGACCGAGCGTATCGACAGCGAAACGAAAGCACAGCGAGACCACAACAAAGTGCAGCACAACACAACAGCACCGCAATAAAAATAACATCAGAGCAGCAACAAACCCTTGGCTGATGCGCAGCTCTTCCCGCGCGCAATAAAAGCCTTCTCCTCGAGCTGCGGAGGCCGCGGCACGATGACACCGACGGCTCCGCTCGGTGAAACCGCGAATTTCTCGCCCGCAGCAGGTCGGGGCTCGGCCCGGTGAGGGCCGCGGGGCCGGAGCGCGGAGTTCCCGCGGCACGGCTCCGGGCCCGGCCGAGCGCAGGGCCGGTCCCGGCCGGGCTCTGCTCCCGCCGGGCTCTGCCCGGGCCCGGCCCCGCCGCCCCGGTGCCGCCGCAGCTCCCGCAGCAACATGGCGGCCGCGGCCCCTCCGCCCCGGGGCCGCCCGAACCCGCGCTCACCTTCAGTCAGTTCCATTCTCACGGCCCCGCCGCGTCCGCCCGGCCCCGCGCAGACAAAGGCGGCGGCGGGGGCGGCGCGGGGCCTCCGCCTCCTCCTCCTCCCGCAGCACCAGCAAGGCCGCGACGGAGCCCCGGCCTCGATTTCCGCGCCCCCGCCGCTGGCGCCGGCTCCGCCCCGGGGAGGCCGCCCGCCCCCAGCGCCCGCCGCGGCCGAGGGAGGCGCTGGCGGGGCCCGGCGGGTCGGCGGCCGAGGGAGGCGCTGGCGGCGGCGGCGGCGCTGGAGCGGCGGCGGCGCTGGAGCGGCTGTGCCGGTGCGGCCCCGCCGAGCGCCTCCGCCCCCGCCCGCCCCCCGCCGCCGCCGCACTGCGCAGCCGCGCGCGCACGCGCCGCCGGCAGCCATTGGCCGCTCGGGCGGTGCCCGCCGCGGGGCACCACGGGAGGTGTAGTTCAGACCCCGAGGGGCCCGGGGACAGGAGGGCACTGGCGACATTTGTGACCATTTCTGGCTCCTCCAAGAGGGACACGGGGCTGGGCTGAGCTCTGGGAAGAGCTGTAGGAAAGGGAGTTTGAAAACCAACTCTGCTCCTCACTTTAGGGACCTTCCTAAAGGCCTGTGCACAGCACAGGAACATCCATAGATGAGTCTCCTCAGGAACAGGAGAGGAGACCCATCTGTGTCCCTCATTCCCACAGGAAAAGCTCTTTCAGACTGAATCCAAATGTGTTTAAAGCCCAGTTTCGTATTGGGAGCTCTGGCACCAGACTCAAGAGCTCTGTCCCCTTTTTCACCCATCTACTCCATTTTACTTTCTACTTTTTAAAACACTGATCAAGTGTTTGGGCAGCTATTAGCCAAAGGGTTCCGGACCCATTTTTACTGGGGCACGGCTGACGGGCCCGCAGTGCCGGCCCGGGCACCACCTCCCGCGGCCCGGGGCACCGGGAGCGGCCCCTGACGCGAGAGGGGCGGGCGCTGCGCGGCTGCCGAGGGGAGCCGCGGCTGCCGCGATCCCCGCGCGGGCCCGAGGCCGGGCCGGGCGTGCCGGGCGGTTCCTGATGCGCTTTAAGGCCCCGGGCGGCCCCGGTGCTGCTCCCCCCGAGGCTTCGGGGCCCCGCGGGCCGGTCCCGCGCGTCCGCCATGCGCGTGACGTCACGCGAGTCTCGCGATGGCGTCACGCAGCGGCACGTGACGTCACAGCCCGCGCGCCGCTGCCGTTCTCGCACACCCAATCAGCGGCTGTTCCCGAGGGCTCCTCGGGTCAGGCCCCGCCCCGCTCCGCTCCCATTGGGCGGGCCTCCAGCAGGGCCGCGAGTCTGACTTCTGATTGGCTGGCGTCGAGCAGGCGTGGCGCGGCGCGATGGCGTCACGGCGCAGGCGCCACAGAGCGGCGACGGGTCCGGTGGGAGGAGAGCGGCCGGCGGTGGGCGGGACCCGGGTCAGAGAACCGGGACCGGAGAACCGGGATTAGAGAACCGGCACCGGGATCGGCATCGGCATCGCAGGGACTGGCACGGGCACAGGGACCGCACAGGGGCGGCGTCGGAGCCCCCGGCCCGGCCCCGACGCGCCCGGCAGCGCTCGGGGATGGGGCCGGCCGGGCCCCGGCGCCCCCCGGCGCCCCCCGCAGCCGCCGCCGTCGCCGTCCCCCGCCGCCGCCGGGGCTGAGCGCCCGCCGCGCCCGGCCCAGCCATGGCTGCGCGCGGCTGTAACGCGCTCCTGGCCGCGGCCAGGGCCAGGTGAGCCCCGGGGGGTTGCAGCTTTTATCGAGCTTTTATCGAGCTTTTATCGCATTCCCGGTAAAGCGGCTTCCGAGAGACGCCGCGGAGCCGCCCCCCGGGGATGGGCTGCTAGCACAGCGCGGGTCCTCGGTATCTCAGCCGTTACGGGGGGAACGGGCTGTCGGCCACAAAACCCATTTCACGAGGCTCTGAGTGCTTCTCTGGTGCTGAGAAGCTCCGGGTGTGATGCCTGGCACTTGGTCCTCCTGCGCTGTTCTTACTGAAGCACCCCTCCAGTTTCAGGGGCTCCCCTCTGCTGGCGCACTGCAGCCCGCTGTGCTCTCCAGCCGTTGCTCTTGTCCAGCTGGTGGATCCCCAGTTAACGCGGAGCTCCGGAGACTCCAGGAGCCAGCCCTGGCCACGCCGTGCCTGCCTGGGCGCTGCCCTGCCTCGCTCCCCTGCCCACACCTTGCACACCTGCAGCAGCCCCCGGCAGCAGCTCCCAGGTGAATCCCTGCCCCGCGGGAGCCCCAGGAACCAGGGAGCCAAACCTGCCAAAACTCTGGCCAAGCAGATCCTTCCCGCTCCTGGGGGGAAGAAGTCCTTGCGACAGAGAACCGTGGATGAGCTGAGGCATTACTACAATGGACTGCACCTGCTCTGGACGGACACCAAAGTGGCTGCCAGGATGGTGTGGAAGCTGCTGCACGGGCAGGTGCTCACCAGGAGGGAGAGGAGAAGGGTAAGTGCCACAACACCTGGAAAAAGCGATGCAGTAAGAGGCTTAACCCCTTCTTTGGACACACTTTGTGTGTCTGGCTGAGGGATGGGCTCTGGGTAATCCCTGCTGCGCTTTTCTCCCTGCAGCTGCTGAGAACTTGTGCAGATCTCTTCCGTCTGGTTCCCTTCCTGGTGTTTGTCATTGTCCCCTTCATGGAGTTTCTGTTACCTGTGTTCCTGAAGCTCTTCCCTGAAATGCTGCCCTCAACGTTTGAGACGGAGTCCAAGAAGGTTTGTGTCCTCTGTGAGGCTGTGGAGTGTCCCCAGCTCCTCAGAACATCTGTGCAGCTGTGCAGGGCTGCTGCTCCCTGGGGATCAGCCTCACCCCGGGCCTGAGACATTCCCAACTTATTCCTGAGCTGCGGCTGTGCTGCAGACAGGGATCAGAAGGAACGTGCACAGCAATTCCATTTCCTGATTTATAACCTTGTATTTCCCAAATGAAGGAAGAAAAGCAGAAGAAGAAGTTGAGTGCAAAGCTGGAGTTAGCAAAGTTCCTGCGGGAGACCATTGCAGAGATGGCCAAAAGGAACAAGGCAGACACAGGAAAAGGGAAACAATTCTCCTTTTACCTGCACGAGGTAGGATGGCAGCCATGGCACAGACACACCTTTAGAGCTGCTGGTTGGGGCAGAGAGCGCAGGATTTGTAGCAGGATTGTGGAGACAGAGCAGCTGTCAGCCCTGCTCGCAGGAATTCCGGTTCACGCTGTGGAACTTCAGTGGCCTCTCAGTCACAGTTTCACTGCGACTTTTAACCCTGAGTGGGGAGGAGGTTCCTGCTGGTGATCCCCTGAGTGGGGAGGAGGTTCCTGCTGGTGATCCCCTGAGTGGGGAGGAGGTTCCTGCTGGTGCTCCCCTGAGGGGGGAGGAGGTTCCTGCTGGTGATCCCCTGAGTGGGGAGGAGGTTCCTGCTGGTGATCCCCTGAGGGGGGAGGAGGTTCCTGCTGGTGCTCCCCTGAGGGGGGAGGAGGTTCCTGCTGGTGATCCCCTGAGGGGGGAGGAGGTTCCTGCTGGTGATCCCGCTCAGGGCTGTTTGTTTGTGCTTCCCTCAGCTCCCTCCCAGCGGCCGGCAGCCCAGCATGCAGGAGATCCTGCACTTTTCCAAGCTCTTCGAGGATGAGCTGACCCTGGAGCACCTGGAGAGGCCGCAGCTGGTGGCCCTGTGCAAGCTGCTGGAGCTGCAGCCCCTGGGCACCAACAACCTGCTGCGCTTCCAGCTGCTGCTGCGGCTGCGCAGCATCAAGGCCGACGACGAGGTGGGTCTGCAGCAGCACCCAGGAGCTGCTGCTGCTTGCACTGGTGCCCCACAACCCTCAAGCAGGGCAGTTTGGGATTGCTGGGAGTCAGATCCCAGAAGAAAACAGAATGGGAGTTCACCTCCCTGTGCCCCTGCAGTCTTTGGGGAGCTCCAACGGAGGTGGCACTGCAGATATTGTCACGAGGGCATTTCATTTTGGACTCATGGAAAAGAGATGTTTTTCAGTGTGCAATGGGGTTATTTGGAAAATGGAGCCAGACTTATCTCTGCAGAGTGGCCATAAGTTGCAGCAAGGGAAATTTCAACTTGATAAGGAAAACAATTAAAGTCGGTGAGAGGGTAAACAGTGGAACAGGTTGTCTGAAGGCTGTGGAATCCCCATCCCTAAAGAGATTCAAAGCACAAATGGAAACTGCTGAACAATTTTGAACTGGAGGTTGATCTGGGGACCTCCAGAAGTCCTTTCAGGTGCAAGAGGGCCTTGGCTTACCCTGAGCCTGGGTGGGAACGCTGCTGTTCATTCCAGATGATTGCCAAGGAGGGGGTCGGTGGCCTGAGCGTGCCGGAGCTGCAGAGCGCCTGCAGGGCCAGAGGGATGCGGTCTCTGGGGCTCTCTGAGGAGCAGCTGAAGGAGCAGCTGGGGCAGGTGAGTGTGTGAGGTGCTGTGGCACAGCTTCCTGAGAATTCACGGGTTTCAGGCTGGATCCTCACCTGCAGAGCTGAGCTGTAGGGCATGAAGGGTCCAGATTATGTCCTAGACTGAAGAGAAATAGACACAGAAATAGAACAAAGGCCAGATAGGAGCATGGTGAAGTGGGGGTTATTCCCAACTCTTCAAACCCATTTCTTCTCATTCTGGTATCTTAAAACTGCATTATCCAAACTCAAGATTGCTTTAAGAACAAAGTGTTGTATTAATAAATGCTCACAGAGAGCCAATATGAAGCATTTTTTCCTTCTGTTTTTTTTCCAACAGTGGCTGGATCTTCATTTAAAGGAGAACGTTCCCTCTTCTCTCCTCCTGCTTTCCCGTGCCTTGTACTTAATAGACCTAAAGCCACAATCTGTTCCCATTCCACAGAACAAGGTGAGTGGTTTGAATAAAGCTTTTAGGTTAATAGCTCAACCATTATACATTATAAAAATGAAGTACTGTGACAGAATCTTGTTTTCTGATCCTACAAGTGGACTGAAGTTATGAATCTGTGTTCTTCTGCAGACAGGTGAAGCTGCTGGAGTGACGACACCTGTTCTTGACGGTCAGGAGACCCTCCTGGATCCTGCCCCTGTTATACAGGGAAGAAAGGTTAGAAACAGCAGTCTGCAAGCAGGAAAACATGTGCTGACATCATTGGGAATTGAGTGTGACCAAACCTTTCCAAAGTTTGACACCATGGCACAGAGCACGTGCAGCGTCTGTTCTTGCACTGTGTGGGTGTTTTCCCCCCCAGGAGCCTCACAGTTGCATGTTCTGATTTGAGAGGCAAGGGAAGGGAGCAGGGATCTGCTGTGGCACAAGTGGTGCTGTGCTGGGAGCAGCTGGTTATTCAGTACCATGGCACTGGCTCCCAGCCAGGGAGACTCAACCTGAATTGCTTCAGGCCCCAGCTCAGAGAAGCCAGTTAAAGTGGACTTGTTTTTAGCCTTCTTACTGAATTTGGGTTCAGTTTTCCAGGACAAAGTGAGCCAAAATATCTAGAGTAAGAAAGCCAGAGCATATGGTTCTCAGCATCACACTGCAGTGAATTCCTTAGATTAGTCCCAGCTGATAAAAGCAGCAGCAGGAATCAAAGAATATTGTATCAACTGCCAGAAATATTTCCACATAGTTAAATTGTGCTGGGACACAACAATGGAAATACCAGCACAGCTTTCACAGAGTGAGCAGGGAACAGTCTTGTCAGAAGGGGAAGGGCCTGGGGGGTTCAGGCTTTTGCGAGAGGGTTCTGTGACTTACAGCTGCTTTTTCCTTAAAGAATGAAGAATTTGTGTCCCAGCCAACAGAGAAATTGCCATTCTCTGAAGCGTCAGTGAAGCCTCCCCCACGAGAGGTGAGCTTGTCAGGGTTCTTACACTTCCCAAAAGAGATTGTTCTTCACACGGCTTGCAGCCAAACCGAGGAAGGTCTTAGCACAGGATGCTGTGAACACTGCTGAGTTCAGGGAGCAGCTGGAGAAACTGGATGAGAGCTGCACTGAGGGCTGTTCAATACAAAGATACCACAGATGGCAGAGAGCAGTCAGACTGGGGGGAGTTACTGGTATGTCCTTGTACTCTTCCTTAATAATCTGCCTTGGGCCACCAGGACAGACCAGCCTTCCCTTGGAGTCACCAGGGTAGGAGCCACTTTTATCTGTAAAAATATTTCTGCAGTGATTGTTTTTGGTTTGTTTCTTTCTGTGAATATTTAATTTCAATTTAGGTGCTTGTGTGCACATCTGGGATGCTGCTTAAGGCAAGTTTGGGAGTCCAGATAGACTTCTGTCTCCTTTAACGTGAAGAACTTTGCTCCTCATCAGCTGGATGATGCTCTCCAGAGCAGCTTCCCATGCACCTTCAGAAAAGATTTTGAATTTCAAGAAACACTTGTACTGCCTAAAATCTGCTCTTTTCTTTTGTCCCTAGACCAAAATGGAAGCATCCCAGAGCAGCAAGGCTGGTGCCAACGGAGCCTGACCTGGAGCCAGCACTGGGAGGAAGCAGCTTCCATCTCCACAGCTCCTGCAAAGGGGGCAGGGATTTCCCAGGAGGCTGATCTACACAAGGAGGCAGTAGCCCTCAGGGGCCTCTCTCTCTCTGTCCCAAGCTTGCTAGCAGCTAGGCCACTGCTGTCTGGATGGCCCCAGACATCTCTTTTGCGCTGGATCCTTGCCCTGCTACTTTTAACTTATGGTGTAAATATGTTAATAGTGGTGCTGCTGTCTGTGCTGTTCCTGAGCAGGTGTTTGTGCTTAGCAAAGGCAGCTTTTCATGTTAGAATGGCCTGTGCACAGAACAAGCTGGGCTGGGGTCCAGCAAAGCCTGTTCTGCAGCGTGAAATCCTCTGCAGGAACATCCCCACACACTCACTCAGGGCCAGCAGCTTGTCCTGGGTGTCCCAGCTCAGGCTCCTGGTCCTGATTAGGGTGTTTTAGCCAGTGACCAGCCCACAACGACCCCCGTGGCCACAGTTTTGCGAGGAGGGTGAGCACAGGGAGGGAGGGAGCAGCACTGGGTGCTGTGGCAGGACTGATGAGAGGGACTTCAGGCCTTGCTGGACAGGAGCAGAGCAGGGACAGGAACAGCCTCCAGCTGTGTTTGCTTCCCCCAGGGAGCTGTGCAGGTGCCACGCACTGTGACAGGATCAGACTTGCACTTTCAGGATCCCTCTGGGTCACGAGAGGGAGCAGCCCAGGACCTGCACACCTCTCCCAAGCGTGGAGCTTTGGTTAATCCTCACCAGGCTCAGAATACACACCAAGTGCTCTCCAATACTTGCAAAGTGACTCCTCACACACTCCAGTGATGACTCAGTTTTTGCCAGACTCTCAGAGGATACTGAAAAGCTGTTTTTAGCATTTGTTAAATTTTTTACTCCGTCCTATGTAAATGCTGAGAAATTGCTCACATTATGGATTTTAAATATGTATATTTATACTTACTGTTAAATTAGATTTGGTGCTAAGTAGGAATGAAACGTCTCTTCCAGAGGTCAGACAGCCTTTAGAACAACCTGACTGAGAGCCAGTTCTCCAAGCTCCGGTGTGAGCAGCACTTTAAACCCGAGTCCTCGGGCTCCTACAGCAGCACAGAGCCAGCTGTCAGGTGTCCTGTGTCCTTAGCTCTGTACCTGAGCCTCTCCTCGTTCATCCTGCCCGCCGGATCTGTGTCTAATAGACGGGAACAAATGTTATTTCAATAAAATAACACCTTGCTGTGGAGTCACTGCTGCCTCTTAGTGCCGTAATGAGGGAAGGCTTCTCCCGCCTGGTGTTCCCTCCCAAGCCTGGCTGGAATTCTCCGGGAGGTTTGGGGTGATCAGGTAACGGCTCCTTCATTTGCCAGCCGGGGAGAGCTCCCTGCTCCATCCCAGCACCTGTGCCGGCTGGAGAGCTCTGCTCCTGCCGGGCAGCCCCTGCTCCGGGTGCAGGAGAGGAGGAGGAGGCTGGCGGGTGTGCTGGGCGGGATGAAGGCAGAGCCAGCAGCGCGTTCCTCTGCTGAGAGGTTTCACAGATGGGAGTGAAGAGGGGCTGGCGGGGAGCCCGGGCATCACCTGGGCACCGCCCTGCGTGGCGAGCTCGGGGTGGGCTCTGGTTCTTCCCACATCCCCATCCTCCAGCCACGACCACGCCACGCTGGTGTGCGTGTGAGGATTCGTGTCCATTTGCCTTCTGTGTTTTCAATTTAGAAAGATCTGGAAGCTGGGACTCGCTTCCCGTGGTGACCACCAGCCCCACACCCACGGTCAGCCTGAAGTGAGCACAGGCTGTGGCAAAGCCCCCCTCCTCCCAGGGAGCCGGCCCTGGAGCAGGCAGAGGGGTATGAACCCTTCACACAGCCCTGAACAAACCCATTTTCAGATCAAAACTGCCCTCCTTCCCCCGCCTCACGGCTCACTGCTGCCACAGAGCTCTTGGGGATGTTTCTCACCTCTACCTGGCATCTGGGACCCCAGGCACCTTCCCAGGACCCAGCACCCTGCAGGCACACTGTGGGGAGGAGGCAGCAATTCTGCTGCATGACCTTCCTAGCAAGGGGAGGAAACGACCCCCGTGGAGCCCCATAAATCACGAGATTCTGTTCTGCAACACTGGGCGAATGAAACGCTGCTGAGATCCAAGGCCGTGTGTGCTTTGGCGTGGGGAGAGCTTTTCCAGCCACACCGGTGCCAAACACCTTCCAGTCTCCCCTCAGCCTGGAGAAGCAGCTCCTCGGCTGTTTATCCTTCCCCCGGGCATCCTCACTCCGCTCCAGCCTGGAGCGGGTGTCGTGGCGCCCGTGTCCGTCCCACCGGGGCAGCGGCTTGCCCGGAGCCAGGGATTGCTGCTGGATGCTGCTCCTGTGCCAGCGCCAGCCCTGGGCCTTGCGTCAGCCTCTTCCCCAGAAAGCTGCTGCAGAAAGATGCCCCGGTCAGCACTTTTGGAGGAGATTAGTATTCAGAGGGAAAAGCAGTGATTTAGTGCGGCCCAAGCACAACAAAGGCCGGGATTTACAGCTCCCGGAACCCAGCGCCACATTCCTGCAGCCCTTCTGCCTCTGCTGGAAACGTGTAACAAAGGAGATGGAGCTTTATCCCAGCCTGAAGTCCTGTGGGACGAGGGCTCCATTGTCAAACCTTGCGTGGAGCGGGGTGGGGTCCCCAAGGTGGCTCAGGGATGGTCCCAATCCACTGCCCATCACGCTGCCCACCCTGCTTCTCCTCGTGGTGCCTGCATGGTGCAGGCAGGGCAAGGACAGCAGGTTTGGGGGAGCTGCGTGCCCCAGCTGTGCACATCTGGCCCTGGCTCTGCTCGGCTGTGGGGGGCTGCAGCTGGACCCTGGGGTCCTGCTGTCCCCACAGCCAGGTGGGACACGGGGGTCAGGGGCAGCCACGGCCCCCAGGCCAGGGGATTGCTCCCCACGCACCCACTGAGCTGTGCCTGGAGCCGTGGGACCTGTGCCAAGGTAGAACAGCACAGGAGGTTCCTGCCACGGCTGGCACAGGGACAAAGCCCAGCTCAGCGCTGGCAGAGCAGCCACATCCTGGTCTGGGGCCAGGAGATTGTCCTGGCCCTGCACAGTCCGAGGGCTTTAAAAGGAGAGAACGAGGAAGGCAAGGAGTGGAGAAGACAAAGGATGCCGTGAGAGCCAAACGTGCTGATGCCCAACACACCCCACCCTGAGGGGCTCCTGAGGGCACCTTCAGCTCCTCCACTGCCCTGGAGCCATTTCCCCACTAAGCAGAGCCCCTGGTGCTGGGCAGGGTCCCAGCTGGGGGGTGCTCTGGTCCTGCAGGATCCCCCAGCACCGGGTGGGGCCTGTGGGGTGCTGAGGTCAGTTTTGGGGTGCGCCCATCTCCCAGATTGCCCACACGCAGAGGATGCCTTACCAGGAAGAGCAGAGAGGAGCTGAATCTTCCTGCTGGGCTGCAGCACCCAGGCAGCCCTGCCCCATCACCTCCGTGGTTTCTGCTGGGTGCCAGCCAGAGCAGCACCCCGGGGACCCTCCGTGCGGTGTCCCATGGAACGCAGCGGGCACCCAGCGGCATGTGCCCCTTCCCCAGCCCGGCAGGGAGCACCAGCAGCTCTGCTTCAGCTGCTCTGCTTATTATCATATTTAATTGCCCTCCTGGTAACCCCAGGAAATGAGCAGGAGACGGTGAGAGCCGCAGTTTGGGATGATGTAAACACCAACTCCAGCTCTCCCTGTGCCAGGCCGGGCCCAGAGGAGCAGTGATTTATGGAGCCCCCAACCCTGCCCCCCTGCCTGGGCTGCGAGTTTAATCCAGGACCGCAAATTCAACATAAATCACTTGATTAAAAGCTCTACTTAATTTAAAGGGGGTGGGGGGTGGGCAGAGTGCAGCTGATCGATTTAATTTACACCGGGAAACAGCAACGGGCAGATGCTTTTAAAAAGGCCGGGGAGGCTGCAGCTGCCTCAGCTTAACCATCTAAGGGCTCTGGAGGGGCTGGCAGCCCCTCTCACCCCCTTCCTCCATGCACCCTCAGCCGCCTCCTGCCCCACTGCCCGTGTCCCGTGGGGTGCAGAACGTTTTTATGGGGAGCGCCGGAGCCGTGAAAACCAGAATTCCCACAAAAGCAGCTGCCATCAAGGCTGTTCCCTGAGCAGCATCTCCCCAAAATCCCTCCTGGCTGAGCCTGAGCACCCAGAGCCCCCCCAGCACCCCCACCAGGGACGGGCCGTGGGCGGCCAAGTCGTGGGTAAAGTCTTTAATAATTACAAGAACTCCAGATTCATTGCAGAAGAGTTTACAACAAATAATATTTCTCCATAGAAAGGCAAAATAAACTTTTCAAGTAACAGCGGCCTGGCTGCAGCGTCTCGGCACCGGCGGCAGGGAGGTTCCAGGTGTCCGTCTGTCCGTCCGTCTGTCCGTCCGTGCAGCAGAGCCGGGCACCGGGACGGTGGGAGGGCTGGCATGGGGCTGCTCCCCTGGTAAGGCACCTCCCCGGGCAGGGGGCAGCCCCCTCCCTCCCCAGGGGCCAGGGCAAGGCCAGGCACGTAATGACAACGGATTCCCAAAAGGCATCGACACATTATTATTATTGTTTAATACAACCCCATATAAAACTGAAGCAGCAGCAGCAATTCTTATCGAGGGACCTAAACTGAAATAGGTTTAGAACATAATTTAAAAAAATAAAAACAGCAAAAATAGCAAAATATATGACTTTTTTTTTTTTTTATAGCAACTGATATCTACCAGCCACTAGTACCTTCCTACCAAACTGGTATATCTCTGGTAACAACCCTTTTTAAAAAGACATGTAAATATATATTCATATTTATACATATTTTTCATTATGTACATGGGACTCTGGGTTTAGCACAGGTGGGTTTGGTGCCTCTGAGCAGTGCAGGGCTCGTGCCCTGGATGTGCTGGGCATGGCTCAGCAAAGCCCAGAGGTCCTGTGGCCCGGGGGCATCCTGGGCAGAGAGGGCTGAGCCACAGCACGAGGCTGCGGGCACACTGAGGCTCCTGGCACACCGGTGAGGCTCCTGGCACACCAATGAGGCTCCCGGCACACCGGTGAGGTTCCCGGCACACCAATGAGGCTCCTGGCACACTGGTGAGGTTCCTGGCACACCAGTGAGGCTCCTGGCACACTGGTGAGGCTCCTGGCACACCAATGAGGCTCCTGGCACGCCAGTGAGGTTCCTGGCACACCGGTGAGGTTCCTGGCACACTGGTGAGGCTCCTGGCACACCAGTGAGGCTCCTGGCACGCCAATGAGGCTCCTGGCACGCCAAGGCTCCCAGAGCACCAAGGCTCCCCCTGGTCCAGCCGCAGGAGCCGGGTGCTGCTCCTGGCTCACCAGGTTCTTGAGTGGCAGACCAGCCCGGCTCTCTGTGCCCAACCAGGATGTGCCATCCCAGGATGCCTGGCTGGCTCTTTGGCCATGCATTGCCCACGGGAGAGGATTTCAGCTCAGCCAAGTGGGAATACTCCAGCACAGAATTCACAGAAAAGAGGTTTAAAAACGAAAGGAGGAAGCGCCATGAGAACCCCGGAGCCAAACCCTTTGGGCAGTGGAGAGCTGACACGAGCGGCAGGAGAAGCTGGCAAGAGGTGGGTGGTTTTGGTTAGGTGAGATGCTACGGATGTCTCTGAACCCTTTCTGCAACAGCTCAGCACAACCAGGCTGTGCAGGCAGCGTCCACACAGGCACAGCGTGGCACGGCACGGCACCCTGGCACTGCCACCCTCAGTGTCGCTTCAGTCCACCATTGCTGTGCTGAGGGGGGAACTTGGGAAGGCACGGCTCGTCCGGGAGCGGGTCGTGGGAGAACACAGAGTCCTCTCCCGAGGAGCAGGTGGAGCTGCGTGTGTCCGGGAAGCTGGGCGAATACTGATCCAGCGGCATGGACAGGTCCAGGTACTCCTGTGTGGATATTCTCAGTTCAGTCACAGAAAAAGAGAAAGATTTCTGCCAGGCTAAGCCTGGGAAAAAGTCCAAGAGGAATGCAGACAATTCATTATCTTGCTTTCCGTTCACATTGTTTATAGATATGTTCTGCCACACTGACCTAAGTCCAGTGTACCAATCAGGTGAAATGTTTTTACTCTAAGATCAATGGAATTAATGTTCACAGTGTTCTCTATATAAAGAGAGAAGTGCTTTTGAATAAATGCTCATTTTGCCTTCTGAAATCGTGCGAGTCATTTCGCCCGTCCCTGGCTCAACAGCTCCTGAGAGGGACAGACCCCAGGGCCTTG